CCCTGTGCCGAGCTCTGACCGGTGGCTGCCCCACAGCTCCCTCCCTCCCACTGGGATGCTCACCCCAAAATACCTCCCCTCATCCACAGCCTGACTCTCCATCACCCCTTTTCCACCGCAGACAAACTCAAGGACTCGGTGCTGCCCACACCAAAGCCCATCCAGCACCCTCTGCACCCACCACCGGGCTCCCACCACCCCGTGCCCAGCCTCATCCCCAACCACAGCGTGTTCCCTCTGCCCGGGAGCAGCGCGGCCACGGCGCTGCTCATCCACCGCACCAACGAGGAGGAGAAGTGGCTGGCCCGGCAGCGCCGGCTGCGCCAGGAGAAGGAGGATCGGCAATCCCAAGTCTCGGAGTTCCGGCAGCAGGTGCTGGAGCAGCACCTGGACATAGGCCGTGCCCCGAGCCAAGCCGAGCCCGAGCACCGGCCCGAGCACCCCAGGTAGGGACGCTGCCAGCCCCGCTCCAAGGATGGAGCTTTCCGCTAAAACTGAGCTGAGTTTTCCTGTGTCACAGCTGTCCTTGCTGGAATATCCGGATCTTAAGCTGGAGAGGCACTTTGGGCAAGGGAAAGGAGCGATAGGACAGGGGGAATGCCTTTATATAGAAAGAGGGCAGGGTTAGATGGGATATTGGGAAGGAATTGCTCCCTGTGAGGGTGCTGAGGCCCTGGCAGAGGTGCCCAGAGAAGCTCTGGCTGCCCCTGGATCCCTGGAAGTGTCCAAGGCCAGGTTTGACGTGTCCCTGCTCATGGCAGGGGGTGGAATAGGATGATCTTTAAGGTGCCTTTGCCCCACACCATTCCATGATGCCGTGATGTGATGATTTGTAGGATTCTACCCCCAACCTGTGGCTGTACCCACCCCATTACCCAGCTCTGCCCCCCATCAGGCATCCACCACCCCACGGCCGTGCCCCTCACACATCCCCTGAGCCAAAGCCACGGTGCCAGCGGGTTCCTGCCACACGGTGCCAGCCAGGCCGGCTGTGCTGGCAGCGCCAGGCGTTCCCGGTGCCCGACATCTGCGCGGCGCCAGGCACCGAGCCCGGGAGGTGGCCGGGGGCCAGCGGAGAGTGGCCAGGTGCTGCCCAGCCACCAGCACCACTAATTGCAGCTCCCCCCTCGTGGGCAGTGGGGCCGGGCTGCGGATGCCTCATTTGGGGGGCACCTGCGCCGAGCCTGGGCAGTTTGGGGGGCAGCAGAGCGTGCGCACACCCCCGGATTGATTGACAGGGCCTTGCTCGCCCCCGTGGCTGAGCACTTAAGCAGTGCAGGCTCATCCAGCCAGCTCTGCCGCCTGCTCCCTTTGTTATTTTTGGGTATCCAGGGGATTAGCGCGGCTCATCGAGGATAATAAGGAGCGGATCATGGGGCGGCACAAAGGCGAGCGCCCGCCGCAGGCTCCCTTCCCCATCCTCTCTTCCCACCCCAAACCAGAGAGGAGGCAGCAAGGTCACCCCCAAACACCTGCAGCTGGGGATATTCCATCCCCATCCTTTTCCCACATCCAGGGGGGTGGGAGAGGAGTGGATCCCGGGGGGGCAGGCGGTGCTCCCCGCCGCTGGTGACTCCATGGCTGAGCTGAACCCGCTGCTCCGCGTGCAGAGCTCCGGGGCGCTGGAGCGGAAAAGTGTTAAATGCACAGCTTGGGCACATGAAATATTTATCCCACAAACGGGCTGGCTCCGGCTCTGGCTGTCAGAGGAGGGCTGCACTGGGGTGCTGCCCTTGCCACTGGGCTCTGCCAGGACCGGTGGCTCGCTTGTCCCCACACAGGGGTCAGCGCTGGGGTCTCCAGCCCCACGCTCCTGGGATGCAGCCGCATCCCTGCCCGTCCTGCCCGTGCGCAGCCCTAACTCTGTCCCCATCCCTCGGGATTGTGGCATGGAGGGGACAAGTGTGGCAGCCCCACATGCACAAACTCCTCTGGCTGTTCCTGACAGGCATGTTTCTCCCCAAAATCCCCCGGGTCTGGAGTGCTGCCAGCTCTCCGGTAGCAGTGCCAGCTCCTCACCTCCCCGGTTCTCTCCTCTCCCCGCAGGTTGGGATCGAGCCGCCACGAGCCGAGCAGCCGGGAGCCAGGGCAGCACTTTGGCGGGCCCCCACCCCTCATCTCCCCCAAACCTCAGCACCACCCCGTCACCACGTCCCTCTGGAACCCCGTCTCGCTGATGGAGAGCCCTCCTGACCCTCCCCGGCGCCTCCCCGAGCCCC